GGAATAAAATCCCGTTTAAAAACACCAATAATTAATTCCATTAACTATTACATTTAAGTACACTGATATATACTTTTTTTTGTATTTATTTGTTTTTTTTATTCGTTGTTTACTACTGTATTGTATAATATAAAATACGCAGTTTAGTGCTCATGTTATATTATATGAATAACTATTCATGAATAAATATTCAAGAACATTTATTCATGAATCGCTTATGGGCATTACATTACATTAATTACTAACTTACAATATATTAAGATTATAGGTCTACTATGTGAGTTAAATTGAAAACTTGGCTATCCTGACTACACTAAATTATGATTACTGATGTATATTTAGCTAAATATGTCATAAAACAATAAAACGTTACGAATTACGTAAACGAACAAGCGACAAATGAAAATAGTATTAACAGTCAATAAGGATGTATAATTCAAATCAACAGCAATTCATTGTTTTAAAAACTTAACAATTTTAGTAAAATATTGTCGATTGCTTTACACGGAATTGATTTTTAAATTTGAATAACACTTTTTTATTTATGTACATTTTTGAATAACAATTTTTTAACCCTCCATCTTTTTATTGTCTACTTTTGAATTAGCCCAAACCAAAACAGTATTAACAGTAAGTTACATTAATCAAAACCTTTTACATTTTATAATGTTTTATCAAATACATTTCGAAATATATTTCCCATGTAAAGCAACGAATAACATTTTACCATTAACTTTGAAATAAAAAATGTAATGTAATCGCTAGTTAAAGTTTGCGATTCGATGTTCAGTTGCAAAACAACTGTAAATTGGATAATTCAGTCACTCTCTTTGGCTCGATAACAGACCAGAGGCATTAGTACGAGTTTCTTTTTCGTAGTAATCGTAACGAGTACGCATTCGGCGCTGTGATTGGCCGGCTCTAATGAACTAACCAATCAGAGCACAGAACGCCGTCTCGTTTCGATTACTTTTAACAAAAAAGATACTGGTACTAATGCCTCATAACGATGTTAACTTCATCGAGCTCATGTGACAGTTCAAAACGTTTTTCAACGAATTTTTCTATTAACAAAACATTTGAATAACAAAAAACTTTAATTATTAATAATAGCCAATTAAACTACAACATTACGGAACGTCGTATCCATGATAAAACTGACAGCGCATCTAAAAATTGAGTCATGCAGACTAATTTCCACACTTGAAAAGACATTAACTGAATCCAATACTATTGATACTAAAAAACAGCCAATAATATTACAAATGATATCATATGTAATATTATTTGACTCTGTATCGGCGATCCAGTACATCGCCTCCACTGTTAATTAGGCTTTATATTTAATGTACACTGCTTAACTACGGAATTTTTGTCATAAAATAAAATGTAGAAAAACATTTTTCCAGTTTTTTCCGTTCAACATTAAAAAAATTCACCGTCGGAAACTTAAAAGTCACCTCTGACAATTCGCAGACACGATCTGTTATAACTATTCCTTTTCGATGATCACAGAGAAAACGTTTGCGTCCACATTTTCGTGCGGCGGCGACCTAAACACTAATTTTTTCATTATTTTCGTACCCTTAATCAAAGATTCTTATCATATTAAATTTTACGGTCTCGAAAATACGACTTGAATATATTTTTTACAATAAATTTACAAATTCGCCGCACGAAAATGTGGACCACGTTGCGTCATGAACACTTTCTTGGAAACGTAACTTCTGGTCTAAAAATCTAATGTTAGGATTCACGATCCGTGCTTTTTTTATTTTTTTGTACAACTCGTATCATCCGAGTCAAGTTCCCTAACATGATGGTACATTAATAATAACTTTAAAAATACCAAACGTTCATAAATTTTTCCTTCTACTAAGACCTAAATTTAAAACAATACCTTTTATACAATATTCATAGGAACTTCTTTTGTTGTTATATTAATTAATTTATATATTAAATTTATGAGGACATTTTTTACATAAATAGCGATCCGTTCACTTGGAATTTATTGCGATTTTCCATATTTTTGGTTTGTTATCAGTCAAAATTGTTTTCACGTCCAATATAGGTTGAATTTTTGCTCACGTTTCCTAGAAAACATATGTATCTATTCGGTACCGGGTAACCATTCGCGTCTCGGTGTAACTTGCCTGTCCGTACCAAAATAATTAATAAATCTTCGCCGAAAAGTTTTGTATTTCATAAATGAAATTAAGAATAAGAAAATAAAATTTGAAATTAAACCATCTTTCATCCATGAAATTAAAAACACGATAATGAAATAAAAAATGATTTTTTGGGCTATTGCAATGATTTTTTTTCCTATTTACATTGATATATCGCAGCAGTGACATCACTTTTGATTGAGCGCAAATCACCGTACGCATATACCAATATTAATTCAAGAATGAAATAATTACGTACATTAAAATCAGCTTATTTTTACCTTACCTATGTTACGATTATACGTATAATACAATTTATATGAACGACATAAAGTTTATTTTATTTAGTTCATATAAATTATGTCTTATTATAATACATGTTGATAATATTAAAAAGAATATTCGGCAACACTTGACATTCCCTTAAATTTGACGTTACAACAAATCCCCCAGATTTACCTAATCGGAAAAAAATGGGAGATATTTTGTAACCATGAACTATAAATCTATTGCGGCAACTGTATGCATTATTTATTTATTTATGTTTATTGTTTAATGATTTTATAATTGCTGAGCGCAATTATTAATCATTTGAAATGATTTCTGGGCTATTGCTGTTTAATTATGCTTGTTTGAAAATAAAAATAAAAATGTAATTATTTGGGCTGTGTGAACATCCGTGATGAAAAGAATGTCTTGTGTTTTGTATCGTCTACTCAAAGTAATTGTCGTCGAAAGCTATTATTAGATCTTATTCTTCATTTTACTCCGACGTTTAGTCCAATTATGAATAATTGTCCTGTTAAATTGTAAGTTCAGTGAAAAATCGCTATTTTTTTATCAATTACAATTCCATTTTGTTTTATTTACATACAAAAGTAAGTAACGGCAGTCTTCTGAAAAAATAATGAATATTTTTATATATATATATACAACTATACAAATCATTTTGTAAATAATTATTTTCCAGTTAAAATAATCAATAATGTTAATGTTAAAATAAATTGTTATTAATTTTTTAAAGTTATAAAAAACATAAGCTTCAACATTTACGTAAATTGCTACGGTATTTACACAATTATAATCTAATATGGCATTTAAAAAAAATACGCCAAGAAATAAGAAAATTTTGAAATGAAAATAAAAAAAGTTAAATAAAATTTATTTTTGTTAAATAGAATTATTTTGTGCGTTCAAAACGTGACTAGCATAAGACGTGTTATTGCGTGAAAAGAATTAATATAAATAATTATTAAAATTGAATAATAATAATAATAAAATATCCTATGGAAACGTAATGCAACTAATTGTATTGCAATAAACCATCGCTAAATGCGACTAACCGTGCTTAAACCTGTTTGGCACATCCAAAAGTTTGTACTAAGGCTTAGTAACTAAGCTACGAAATTCACTGCTCTGGTGGTAAAGCTAATAAAAATAAATATAATATACTTCTAATAAAAACACTCAATAATAACGAAACAAATAATAGAAGATTGCACTGTAATATTATTTGTCGTAAGTCTACATCTAATTACTTGTTCGGGCGAGTTTTTGTTCCATATTTTTTTTTTGTTCATTCATTCAACTATTTTAGGTACTTTTTTTATATATATATACAGTAAAATTTGTTTCCGCTAAAAGTTTCCCTATTTACAACAGTTAGTTCTATCTAAATTAATGTTATTACTTTATAATAATATGTTTTTTTTTTCATAATAATTGTATACTTTTGCCGGCTAAAATTAAAACGTAAAAACACTTTAGAGTCCAAAACTAACTCGGTAAAATAACAATTGTCAACAATTACCAATCAGAGGCGATTTCGTTCAAACTCCGGCCTAAAAACTTTGATCATCCAAAAAATACAAAAGTCACCCTTTTATAATTTCCCTAAGATTTACGAGCTAAATTACATCTATTGCGGCGAAATCGCATCGGATTAGTAATAGCTGAATTTTCATGGCTGAGGATTTTGCTGTAAGTGGACAGCTTGCTGGGCAGCTTGTTGGGCAGCCTGAGCAGCCTGTGCTGCTTGCGCGGCCTGCATGTGCTGTTGCTGGACGGCCTGTTGTGCGGCCTGCTGCGCGGCTTGCTGCGCGGCCTGCTGGGCGGCCTGGGCAGCCTGCTGGGCTACTTGCTGTGCGGCCTGCTGGGCAGCTTGCTGAGCGGCGGCCTGCTGTGCGGCCACTGCCTGTTGGGCTGCTTGTTGCGCCGCCTGTTGCGCTGCCTGCTGCACTGGTGATGGCAAGTTAAACCCTAGCATTCTGGGATCATGCAATCTCAGCGCCTGCTCTAACCGCTGCTCTTGTGCAATTCTAAACGCTTCTACTAATTCTGGTGAAATTTGTCCACTGGCATCATTCGGTGGTTGTGGAGGGAAGCCTCCGTTGTGTCTTAAAGGACTTGCAGCATCGTTACCGTGTGCTGCAGCTGCTTGGGAGACGGCGAGTCGAAGTGCTTCAGCCTGACTTCGCAATAAGGCCTCAGCTTGCTGAATTCTCAATGCGGCTTCTGAAGGTGCTGGCGGTGTTTCTGCAGGAGGTTGAGCTGGTGGTGGTTCTCTGGCCAATTGCTGCCTCATCGCGGATACCAGGTTGGCAGCAGCTACCTGCACGGCACTAGCACCCTCGCCAGGCTGCGCCATCATATTGGCGGCGGCAGCGGCTATGGCTGCGACTCTTTCGTCTCCGTATGCTTGGTGTCCATTATTGGCTGATCTTAGAAGGTCCGTGAGTTTGTTGACTGCTGCCCCTGCTTCTGAACCGGCAGAGGATGACAGTCGTCCATTCGAGGATGAGTCTGAGTGAGCTGGAGAGGGAGGGGCGAGGTTCAAGAGCCTGATCCTCCAGCTGATGCCGAGACGGCGGCGATGATGTCCCTCTCTCGTCTCTCCGCTGCTGCCCTAGATAGTACGTATTGGGCAGCGAACTGATGTTTCGGTTCCATTCTCATATGTTCCATGTGGGAGAGGAGGCCTGGAAAGTTAAAATGCAAATGAGTAATGATCCTTAAAAAATGATCCATGTTTATTTAAGTCTAACAGCGGAATTGATACAGAATTTGGCAATTACGACTGACGAATCCCGAAGGGGTAGGCAGAGGTTAGCAGAGGACATTACGACACTTAATGCCACTGTAGAGGTACAATATGTAACACCCAATTTTCACAATTTATGTTACGAGTCCCATGTAATAGGGGTGAGCCTATTGCCATATACCGGGCACAATTCTGGACTCCGTGCTACCACTGAGATTTTTTTTAAAACCCAGTAAATACTTTGCCCGACCCGGGAATCGGACTCGAGACCCCTTGCCGAGTCGCACTTGCGACCACTCGGCCAACGATTAAGTTTGACAATAACAATTTATTATTATAAATTATTTATTATTATTTCAAAGAAGAATCAAATCTAAAAACACATTGTTAGTTGTCCAATTCATAACTAGCTTTTGCCTGCGGCTTCACGGCATCTATGATAAATGTCCTTCGGGAACGAGATTCGATTCCGGTTCAAAAATATTTTATGCACCATTCCGTGTTGTGATTTATCTCTTTGTCTACTTCTAACAACTATAGTCTAGTTGTTATCGACTTGGTGTTTGCATATTTGACTGATACGGTCGCGAGTCAATATTAGACAAATATGCAGTCAGATAACTTGACGATAATTAATCAAGTACTTAGCAACAGTGCTTGTTGTTGTATCTCAGTATCTGCATCTTGTGATTTCTTTCTAATACAACTTAATTCAAATTCATAATTCTTTATTATCTTACGAATTACATTATCTGTCTAACATTGAGGCAGTCCCAGTAAGTTATTATACAATACTTGTTTTGGGACTGACTCGATCCTTTCTTAATTGATACTAAATTAAGATGCGTTTCTTTGCGCTTCAAAATGTCCTCTCAAACTCTTTCCTTGACTTGAATTTAGGTTTACAAGATCACTCACCACTTTCATGTGTAAACACAGCCTGACAAACAGAGCAAGGCCACATCCTGAGTCCACTGGTCAATTGGGTTTCTGGGTGGCAAGCCAGGTGCTTCCGCAGGGAACCCTCATTCACGTAGTGCTTGCCGCAGACTGGGCAGGGGTGGTTCGCCGTCCGTCGCTTCGCTATGTAAGGATCAACAGGTTTAGCTTGCGCTGGGTATGGTGACGTAGCTGGTGGGCCTAGTCACCAGGATTAGGTAGGTTAGTGGGTTAGGGGGGGAAGGAAAAAAGAAAAAAAACAAGGTTAGTTCCATTGTTAGTTCCAATTCTTTTTTGGAGACGACACCTTGTTGGTTGCTCAGTTATTCAATAATAGTTATTGAATATTTATTTGTCTTCACTTATAACAGTCGAATAAAGGCTTTTGAACCAACGAAATGCCGCCCAAACACTTAGATTCGATTAAACGAAATCAAAACGCGAAAATAAATGGAGCTTAAATAAATCAATAAGTAGAACCAAAACAGAAACCAATTAACTGAACATTGGATGCCAACGAAACGGAATTGACGATAGAAAACGAGGAAAACGCTGCCATTAGATACATAAACAAAACATGTTATGATAATACAGACTGAACGCCATCCGAAGAATTTGTAATTCCAGTGACAAGCAAGAAATGTTTGCAAAACACACTACCCTCAGAATGATGATAAAACAATAACATTTAGTCCCCGGATCGCGTTCAGCGCTTATTTATTAAGTTAACGTTTAAGATTTATGGATACGATACGTTTTTGTTTTACCGTTGATATTGAAACCAACACCCCTCATGGCTTTGTGCCAGCTGGAAGCTTTTATAACGCTAAACATAATGTTAGATAAGTGCTACTTATCGCTATGTTACGATGACCAGTTACAAACTTCCAGTGGCATAGCTTACGTGCTATAATCTCTTCTATTGTAACGTACTATATCAGTTACGTTACGTTACGTTCATATAATTATTTGAATAAAATGATTTTATACGTGCCATTGTTTAAAATAAAGTTATTCATTCATTAACTATTAATTAAAAATACGTTCAACAATAGGAGAGATCTTACGATCTAAATTACAAACTAAAACCCAAACAAATTGAAAAAAGAATGTCAAAGACGTTCCTTTTCCAAAACGGAATAAACGCGTTATTAACATTCAATTTTCGAAAGAATTCAAAAAAGGAACTTCTTCGACGTGTATCTAGTCATCTGGAGTTCTTTTTTCAAACCAACCAATCCTTCGAATATTTGTAAAGTCGAACGCTGTGAAACTTACTCGCAACGCCGGATGCATTCGGGTCCTTGTGTGTATTCTTCATATGTTCTACGAGAGCTTCGCCACCAAATACTACTTTGTGGCATATTGGGCACGGAGTGGCTGTAGCGCCACCTATCATGAGTGCCGCGTGTTGCTGCAAAACACCAAGGTGCAGCTGAAGCTCCTGTTCCACCGGCGGTGGCGATGCGGGCATAGCAGTTCAAAGATTAGCACACATTCGTAATAAAACACACAAAATAAATATACAGTCGAGAGGGAATTTTGAAAGAAAAATCAGCCAAACAGTCAATTTTGATATCAAGCAAATAAATGTTAAAATTGCCAATTGATTACTTGTTGTTAATTTGGAAACTTATTATAAAATGCTTAAATTATTGTAAAAAAAATAAAAATAAGTTCCGTTGTTTTTTGGGAACTTAAAAATTCGATAAAATCATAAGAAAAACAGTGTAGGTACAATTGCCAAAACCATTATCATAATAACAATATTACAAATAAATTGTTATTGAAATAGAACAAAATTATTTGATCAATCGGCATCTATTCAGAACAACAAATAACATTCAAAGATTATCATAACTATTGTTTATAATAATTTAATTAAAGGGAGATAAAAGTATGAATAATAGGATTCAAAAAATGAATTTCAATTTCATAATTAAACTGACATTGGATAATTAATTAAACAAATAATTATTTTAGATACTGACCTTTGCCGTGTGGGTTCTCAAACTGCTTTCAGTGGCAAAACCTTTCCCACAAATATTGCAATGAAAAGGTCTATTTTTGGCTCTTTCCACTTGAGCGTCATGATTCCGTAGATGTTGTTGAAGGTTTGAAAGTTGGATAAAGGCTCGGCCACAGTCAGGGAGATGGCATTTGTATGGGCGTTCCCCTGTAAAGAAGGCTAGATTTAAGATGGTGTTGTACTTTGGTCTAGCAAATGCTTCAAAAGATAGGTATTATAAAGTTCAGTGCTGTCTGGTCTAAAGATAAAACTGATTCATGAGCAAAAGTCTCGTAATTTCTTGCAATTCTTTCGCGTGTGCTAAGAGTTCATTTATAGAGCACAATAAACTGAGAGAGAATGAACGCAACACAATGCATTTGACCCTAATAATTAACAAGAATGTTTTTAAGATGAAATCTTTAAGATCCGAACCATATGCTCCTATTAAAGCTAAACCAAACATCAAAATTAGAACAATCGACGTTCGAAAATCGAACACTAACGGTAATCTTACACAACGGAACCGCAAACCAGTTCGAAATTCGAAACAATCTCAGCCAGCCGTTGCACGTTTGTTAAAAAGCCGAAAAATCACGACCACGACCTAACCCAACGCGAAAGAAACCGAACGTGGCGTTCCATTTTTAAAATAAGACCATAATAAAACGAACGCATACTTTTAGCCTGTACTGCAAGCAAATGCATAGGTCGTTGAACGCACGCACACAGGCGCGTTACCCACACAGAGGCGTGTGTATGTATGGAGTCCTGGGCTTTGTTAGTGTATGTGAATTTTGCATGTCTGGGAAGAATGCGTGCATATTATACGCGTGAGGGACTAAGATTATTGTAGAATTATTTCCTAGATGCAACTAGATAGATATGTATGTGTATCTGGTGTAGGTTGTAACGGTCCGATCGCCATATTTATTGTCAGTAAATTTTATAAGTGTATATGTTTTATTAGTTAGCTGATAAAAGTGATTTAAATATTGGTTTGTCTGTTTTATGTTCGTGTTTGGTGATTGCGAGATCTCGCCGGTTGTTCGAAATTAATTGGTTAATGTAATTCTTTAGGCATTTGTCTATTTGACAATTAATTATTTGAGTAGTAATTATTTTTGATTATATCATTTTCACATTTAGTTTTAGTTGGCGATATTATTATTTCCAAAATATCTTTAGATAATAAGAAATTATTTTCTATATCATCGTAATAACATACTATTACAGCTATAACTAATAATATTATGACGTTAACTTAAGTACCTGTTAAGACATTACGCAATTGTATTACCTAAATGAGGTCTTGGGTACGATTCCGGAAACCACATACTACATAAGTCAATAATCACCGATCCTTCACGGTTAATTCAATCTAAGTGGTGATTGTTGTGTCATGGTGATTACTGTATAAAGGTTCTTAGTTTTTATGAGAAGAGTATTACTAGACCTTTTATTAAGCGCTATGTACATATCAACGATGCAATCAAAATTTGTATTTTGTGTAAAATTTGTATAAAAATTATCGAAAATATTTAATTTAGACTATTAAAAAATAAAATAAAATGCTTAATTATAACAAACATCGATTTACAGTTTTTTGGACTAAATTAATCTGGTTTTTAAATATAACTATTTTACTGTCAGACAGGGAATAAAAAATAACTTCACGTATAGTCTTATTGGACAAAAGGTCTAATTAAAATAATACAAAGAATAACTTAGGGCACAATATAAAGAATTTTAATCTAAGTACATTACAATATTATTACACATAGACATGATTCTACGATTACATCAATAGACAATAAATAAAAGTACTTTATAGTTTTTCATTTGCTAATAGCAAACGTCTATAAATGTTTATTGGTGTTTTTAAATGGATTGTCTTTGGTAATAGACGTTGTTTGATATAATAGGGAAGTTTCCGAGTGATTTTTGAAAATAAATTAATGAGTTTTATTTTCTATTGTCAATGTTATTTTTTTGTGGAATAATATTCATTAATAATTATTTTTGAATGATAATTTTGTTTGGATTGTAATTATGTTATGTTAAAATGAGCATGTAATTATTTTATGATTTTAAAAGTTAATCATGTTAATCTTATTTAATGAAAACGGTGTTCATTTAATTCAAAGTTTACTTGTATTACAAGTTCTATCGTAATTAAAATTAGTGAACGTACGAGTACCTAACCTTTTTCCTGTCTACTAAATTCTAAAACCGCATACTTAATCATAAAATATTTTACAATCACTTAAAAAATAAACGATTCCCGTAAACATAAGCCCATATGTAATCTGTGGACAACATCATAAATGTCATATTAACTGCAATATATTTCCGAACGCAAGAAAAAAACAAACAAACCTAAGATTAATCTTGTCTATGGTCAATATGTCTTCCGGGTTCGCTGTTCCATAGACTATTGTGGCTTCACCGCCATTTTTCAACGTATAGAACTTGCACAACCTACGCGTGAACCAGCCAGTTGAGGTTGGCCTTTTTGTGGTGTCCTAGTAAATTAAGTGAGGGGTCTAGTTATGTTGGCAGTTAACAGTATAGCTATTTTTGTTATTTCACTATGAATAAATGGGAAGGGAAAGGCGCTTACCTTAGCACAGTTCGGCCGATGTGCGATGGTAAAGGATGGTATCTTTTAGATCGTGAACGGATTTATAGTTTGTTAATTTGTGCTCTTGTGAGATTTTTAAACCTAGTTTTTTAATTTTATGAGCATTATTTCGTCAAAATGGTAAAAAAATAATCATTGAGACTTACGTGAAAAATAGACCACTAGACATATTAAATATTTTTTGTAAAATAACTGACAAAACAGGCCTAAAATTCCAAACCATTTTTACTACGAATGAACACTAAAACGAAACATCGAAACAAAACACAAACCGGTCAAAACAACAAAAACACCTAATTAGCTAAACCTAAAAACATTTCAAACCTAACTGGAATCCAGGTACAAAGCCTAGGCAGAACCTAAGTGCCCTGAAACCTACGCGTTCGATTTACATACAAAAGTACCTCAGAGCCACCTTTGACTCGCCTGCGTAGGCATTAAACATTCTTATGTAGACAGTTAGTCAGTTTCCGACTGGGCTTTTTGAGATAGATACTATAATTTAGTCAGATAAAACAATATTATTGTCATATTTATGATTAAAACGACCCTTATTTTATACCAGCGGCTAGCTCTGAGGAAATGGCTAAGCTAAATTTAGAGGAGCCATCTTTTATTTTGAGTTGACAATCATGGCGGCCAGTGTCATATTTATCACGCTGCTATTTTGTCTATGAATTTTGACAGCTGTCATATTGTGACAGTTTAATTTATTGTGTCAATTTTGTAATCATTGTGCTAATGTTAAACTGGAGTGATTCTATTTGATTTTTTTAATAGTCTTAATGCCAGTACAAAGCCGTTTCAAATTGCAAAAAGAACAACAATCATAGACATCGACAATTCTCGTTTACATTTCACAAAGGCAAAGGAATTCAGTTACAGAGCCAAGTTTCGCAACATAATAATTATAGGTCTGTTAAAAACTTTGCAGACATTCCGAAAAAAAAAGTATAAAACTTTATCTTTTTATGTTTAAAAAGAGAAAAAAATTGTCAACTCAAATAATAATGATTAAAATCTACGTGTCGCTCGAGACGTGACTTAAGAGAATTTAATTTAATTTGTCTTTTAAAAACTTCGCTTTTTGCGTTTTAAAAGATTAAAAATTGTTGCCAGATAAAAGAGTTTCGTTGTGGTATTTGTAAAGTCCTTTTTTGACGTCGGAAAAAACCTTCTGTGTACTAAAATGGAAGCACTAATTAATTTAGTTTTTCGAAGTAAAATCACGAGTTGTTTACTTATTTATATCTACTCTAGAATTATATTTTAAACGAATCGACGGATCGGACGAGTGTTAGTAATTAGACCACGAAAATAGTGAGCCCTACCCTAGCTTTTTTTCTCGAACAACCTACTCAACAATTGAAATAGCTAACCCTACAGTTTCTACCCACCCTCTTACATAAAAACCTAAGTTCCTACAAGAATCTCGTAACCTTATAATATACATGTGACATATAAAATTCCGTCCACATCAAAAAAGGGCATTAAGTATGAATACAAGACATTAATATGATATGTCAGGCATATGTCTCCTGCACGCGGATACAGACAAACTATTACATACACACATACATACATACCTATACACATATAGGTGAGTTATACCTGTGTCGTAGGAGAGTGAGTTGTTCCGAGTTTTTCGGAAAAAACTAGGGTGGAAAATGTGAGTTACAGATTGTATTTAAATGATTTGTAAGTTATTGGGAGAGTCAGATCAGCTGTGGACATCTTGTGGCTTATGTGACGATGAAAGATTGCTTACTGGTTTTATCTATAATTATGAGACCCATGAATATATATTCCACTGAGACTATAGGTAGGTATAACTATTAGATATTGTACCTACAATAGCTTAGGATAACTTAATTACGGTATATAAGCAACGATACTTGAATTGTGATAAAAATTAAATAAATTAATTGGAATTCCTAGTTATAATCACTGCTAATACCTACCCTAGATTTTTAAAACAAAATGTTTTTTTTTTAAACGTTGCCCTACATTAGGATTATCTTCTGCGTCGTGGGTGCATTTACACCTAGACTCGGAACACCAATTTGTGGATTGCACACAAAGTCTCCGTGCAGGAATCGAACCCGCTGCACGTTGTGCGGTAACCAGTGGCTCAGCCATCACACCAACTGTTCAATCGTGTTACTAAAATAACAATTATAATCTTTAATTAAAATAAAAATACAGTACGTTAGTAACAAAATCAAAACTCTAACTTATTACAACTGCCGACAACACACCCACACATCGAAACATACATAGAAATACACACAGCCACGTAAGCATAGATATGGCTGCGGATTCGAAAATTAAAATTAAACATATCTCGTTGCGCGTCGATTTTAAAACACGTCGGCCAACCGGCGCGTGCGCGATGCACAATTTATTTTTGAATTTGGAACGCAGACTTCGCGCCGTTTTAATACTGCACGCGAAATTATTCGCGCGTTTTTGATGTTTTCTGATTGGCATTTTTTTTTGTTGAATACTCTTTTTTTGTTTTTTT